AGCAGCCTTACAAAAACGTCAAGCTAGTCTTAGACATGAACACTTTCAGGATGCCACTTGGCCAGCAGTGGGAGTGTGGATCACAGCAGTAATAGTGGGCCCTGTAAGTACTACTTCAGCTGCTTGCACAACTGACAGATGGGAAGCCATCTCTCCTGCATGGTATGGCACTCTCACAGAGGGATGGGTGGCAGCAGTGTGTGAACATACTCACCTGATTCTGTTTCTGGCAATTTTCTCCCATGGTGAGGGCAGAGACGTACTGGTGCCTGCCCCCTGCAGTATCAGTGGCAGAGGACAGGCGTGGGTGTCAGAGGCCTCAGGCACTCTGCAGAACGATGCCAGTGGAGACAGGCAACGGTAACCTGGGCAATTTATTTCAGGTTGCAAGTCACTATGGTACCAGGGATCTTCTTTCTGGAGAAGAGGACAAGAACCTGTAATTGCTCAGCATTTTGTCAGAAGAGCTTGCTGAAGTTGTTTGGACAGTGGCAGTCTAATGACTCTTTTGCTGCCAACGGTTTTGGAGTTAGAAATTTCATAGCCAAGCAAGAGAGAAGCTCTGATTTATGTGGTGTTCCGAAGAAGGCAACCCATACAAAATTCTAGTGTGCTTTATTCAGAAGGTCTTGCTCCATCACGGGGCTATCACGAGGTTCAAGGGCTGTACATCCCTAGCCTTTAGCTTTTTTAGTTTTGTATCAGAAGGAGTTGGTCCTTTTCTCCCCATCCCCCAGACAGCCAGTATGAAAAGTTAGAAGACTGAAGTCTGCTAAGCAGCTACTTCTGATTTGCTGCTGGATATGGATCATAGAAATGTGACCACTCTATCTTCTGCAAATCATGCCTCTGCCAAAGAGTTGTAGGATGCACAGTAATTTCTTTTTTTCTGATAAGGGAAAATGAGAAGACAGTGGTGAAAGGGTGGAGATGTGCATGAGCTGACATATTCAGGTACATGGAGCTTGTGTATATATAAAGTGAATATATGTAGTGAAACAGCTGAAATCAATTTGTCTTCATCTGGCCGTGAACTAGGCAAAGATCTTTGTATATTTCATCTACAGGTCTATGATGCTTCCTTGACTTTCATTATTAAATCTGCAGCATCTTAAGTGTTAAACTACTACAGGTCCTAAGGGGTTACTCCTTGTAGCAGAATTTTGGAAAATTACTGTGCATTAAAATGACTATAAATGATAAACCAAATAACCAGTTGTAATAAAATCAACAAACTAGCGGTGGTGTTTGTATTTGTAAGACATCTCCTTCTGTTCTGAGTTCTTTTATTTAGTGGTTTGACTGCAGCATGCTACCTGTGCCTTTGGGGATGGTAATTTCTGTAGTGTGATGATAAACAAGACTCGGTGGCCAAAGAGAGATCCCTTGACATCGCTATGGTGGATGTACTTCATCACAGTCTCGTTGAGAAGCGCTGTCAAACAGCTTAGCTTATATGAAGCATAAATGATGCGTTGGGAAGATTAATTTTGTCAGGTATACCTGTGACAAGGGTAGCTAACATCTCAGAAGGGAGAGTTTACAAGCACTTGCATGATTAGGCCAATCATTTTGTTTCATAATTAATTCTGTTTATTCATGGATGAAGCTGTGATTTCTGTCTGGAACTAGAATTAATCTCTAATAGCCATAATGAAAAATAAAGTTACTCTTGTAGAACGACTATCATTTTCTGCAAGAATGTAGTTTTAAGTCTTTAGAATCTTGATGATATTGTGAATGTGTTTATAGGATACATGGCCATGGAATTCTTGTTTTTTTCTCAGAGAACTACACTTTACAGTGCATATATTTTGCAATACTTTCAAGAAAAGAATAGGAGGACAGAGTTGAATGTATTGAGTGAATTCTCTTTTTGTGTGTCTGTTAATAGGACAGGTATTTTTGTGTTATGGAAAAAGACTTTTAATTTTACTGGTCAAGTCTGTTCATCTTGAATTTGGTAGAATTGGATTTTGGTGATGGGTAACTGGGAAGAGTGTATACACATAAATTTTTTTCCTTCTGGAGTTCAGAATCTTTCTAATAATGATCTTCATTACTATTAATATTAATTACATGGATGTGTGCATTACGTGACTTCGAGAATATGTTGACATACTACTGGTGCCTCTGGGACACTGCCTGATAAAACATGGGGAAATAACTGATCGGTTTATTCTTTTCTAACACTATCTGTATTCTATTGGAAACCTTTCAAATAGTTTAAGTTAAAATTTAATGGTGCTAAGAATAGTTGAAGGTTTTACTTCTCAGATTTAAATTTTCCTTGTGGTTTGTTTTTTGGTGAGTCTTGTAGGTCTTATTGAGTCACCATTTCTAAAGTCCATGGCTTTTTTCTCTAGGCAACTTTCGACTTCTGTTCATGGCTCATCTTTGTCTCTTTTTGCTTTCTGCTACATGTAGCAAGGGGCTTCTTTTAAATCTCTTATCTGCTTTGTAGCTTCAGGAAGCAAATCAGTGTCCTCAGTGGATGATAAACTGCTTATGGTGAGCTATACCCATTCTTTAATTAAGGGATAATCAGCATATTTGCTAACTCTTCTTTATAGGCTGGTGTAAGATACAAAAATTACCTAATCACTTATTTGCCTTTTTCTTTAATACAGAGGCAAAAAAATATCTTAAGATAATGATCAACCCTTGCATTTTCGTAGAAATTCATGAATTTTACAAAAGCAGTTGTTAGACAATTGTAAGATCAGCCTCTTGAAAAGCATATATATGGAAATAAGCTAAAATGTGTGGTATGATGTTAGCCATTGAAAATTAACAATGCCTCTGCTAATGGTAGCCTCATTTGACAAAATAATTGCTTTCTGTGTTTTACTTGAAACTTTTTTTGTTTAAAAACTCCATTTATTCTGTTACACCATCCATGTACAGAGATTCCAGGTGCTGTCCTCTTAAGAAGGAATAGGTGAAGACTATTGTTCCTGAATAATATAATGATTCATTCAGAGTAAAAAGATAATAAGGGGGTTATAACTAAATGACTAAAGATATAAAGTAAAATACAATTTTACTTTATAAGGAGTTTGCATTGAATTTGACAGGGATAAAATTCACAGAAAATAGTCTGTGTAAGACAATAAAAATTAGACAGGGAACATAGGAACATCTTGGATATATTTAAGTCCTAAATAAAGCTCCTGAGTATTTATTCCAGATTTTCTTTTAAATCCTTATCTAAAAGCTGTCTTTTTTTTTTCCTCCAATAATCTCCACACATGGTGAAAAGTCCCACCTCCGTTTGGTGTTTTTTTCCCCTCTCCCCTACCAAACAACTTGGCAAAATTTGAGGGCCAAAAATTTTCTTGAGGCAGTATTTGTATCTGGTTTGCCTACTTTAAGAACTGATTCCAACTGTAGCTCTCAGGCTGTGAAGCTGTAATGTTGGCTTCCATAGGGAGATGTCATGAAGCTGCAGAAACAACCCCCATTCGCTTTGCTATTTTTCAGCTCTGGTTTCTAAAATCCTCTGTTCTACCCCCGAAGTGAAGGGGTAGACTCTTACCATCACCTTGTCATCATCTTTTCCTCCCTTTTTCCTTTTCCATGGGACCTCTTTCTTCCTACTTATTTATAGACACTATCCTTCAATTCTTTTCTAGACTGAAAAGAGACAAACATTTTTTAATACAGTTATTTACTCTTCTCAATTGTAAGATTCTTTGCTGCTCCTATTATCCAGTGTTTTGGGAGATTCCTGCACAATACTGCTGTGCTCTTAAGGAAAGAGCATAAAAATATACCAGGATATTATTAATAATAACAATTCAGATTGTTCATGCGCAGAATACTTGTAATATATTTCATGGCTCAGAAGGATGTATGTATGTATTGTTGATTACATATCAACTGCTGGTGGGCTGTAGGCAAAAGTGGTTCACAAGTTTTCGGGAGCTGCAGGAGTGAGCATTTCCACGCAGCAGCTGTGTAAGATCAAGACCTGCCCCAGTGGTTCAGCTGAGTGGGAGTGACCCAGGGCTGGTCCTGATCTGGCACTGCCTGAAACATGAAGCTGGTGGTCGTGTATGAGGCACGTGAAGGAGCACGCGCGAGGGAGGGAGGTTTGCAGCTGGGCCATCATGTGCTGGGGGTGCTGGGGAGGTGGTGCTGTGCCACGGTGATGTTGTGGAAAGTGCAAAGCAAAACTGCTGTATGAATTCAACGGCTGTCAGAAAGCTGTGACCCAGGATAGTTTGCCTGTGGTGGCCTAGAGCGATAGTGATTGTGCAGTGGTAAGCCTGGGATCCTCTGGCCTGCTGCCGTCCTTAACTTGGAAAGAAAATGGTATAGGAGAAACAGGTCCTTTCCCCTTCCTGTAGAGTTTGGTTGACTGGCTTGTTTGTCCTTGTTGCTGCTTTCTGTAAGGGAGGAATTGTAGCAATTACTTAGGTTGATGATCAAATCCATTAAAATCAAAGAGATCTTTATCCCTGACCTCAGTGTAGCTGGGTGACTGTGTTATCCCCTGCTCTTGGGACTCTGCTAATAGCTAGCTGTGTAACAGCAGACAAGCTCATAACTTTTCAAAGGGAAGGTTGTGAGGCATCATCTACTGTTATTGTGGAACTAGAGCAAATCATCCTATGCTGTGAGGCTTACAAACTGCCTACAACCATCTTCAAATCAGTAAAATTGCTTAATTCTTCCATGTGCCACGCTTCTTGTCCAGGGCAAGGGTCAATAGTAATGCACATGGGAGATAATTTTGGCAGTATTAGATGGGATCAGCTACATAAAAGAAATGTCTCTTAATGCCAAAATCTAGAGATAGGTTTAACAGAAGCCATGTTGACACATGTGAAGATAAATGTAGAGGATAAGATTAGGCTCAGTTACCTATTTGCCTCTAATAAAGTTCAGGATATTTTCGTTATGTTTCATTCCAGAGTGATTTTTTTTTATTGCAAAGCTTTTTTTTCTGCTCATGAAAAGAAGAAACGTTAATATCTCTTTATATTGTTGTACAGACCACTTTCTGATTCTGAACAAATAAACTTTTTAAAGAAAATAAGACTATGTATTCAGCAGCAGAAGTACAATGAAGCGGTAAGTCTGTTTTTGTTATATGTAAATATTTAGATTTGTTTAAATTGAAATGGGCTGAGAAATAAAACTGTTTTTCTTCCTATGATGCACATCTCATTAACACAAATAAAATTCCACTTTAAGTCTAAAAAATTTTTCATTTGGGTACCAGTTCTAATGAATAATACTGACTTGCTGTATTTTTTCTCATACTTCTTAAATTGTTACCATTCCTAGTATACTGGCACACTATATTAAAGGGTAAATTGAGAGAGAAACTAATGAAACTAATTCATGTTCACTCTTCTTAGACTGCCAGTTGCATGAAAAAAAAGTGATATTTTGTTCCATCATAGATCTTGGGGATTTTTTTGTTCTTTTACCTGAACCAGCTGTTCTTGTTTTTAATTTCACATTTTGAGTTTGTCAGACTGGGAGCCATATATGAAATCATGCTTTCCAGTTCCAGTATTACTTTCCTAACCATTTGCTACCACTCATTGTGTGACAGGGTACCTGATGGGTGCAGTTCACCAGTGCTTGTATTCTGATGTTCACAG